CAACCGTCCAATGTTGACCACCTCCCTGACGGGGCAATTGAGCCGGACTGCAGGTCCCGCAGATGTTCCACCGAAGAACCGAGGGGAGCTCAAGGTGTCATTGGGGTGCGATCCAATGGGGAAGAGCCGAGGAGCATGCGGGGTAAACCATGGATAGAGCTTGGCGGCGAAAGAGGTTCGAGGAGCGAAATTAGACATGAAAATATGCATATTGCTCACATGAACGGACCAGGGTCGAACGGGGACTGCCCTTGATGGAAGCTGGTCTTTGATGGTAGCTTCAATCACGCAATATCGCGCCATTGAGAGCTGATAGAGAAGATTGGGCACTGCAAAGCTCTTATCGCGGTAAAAAAGATAAAAGTTGCAATAGATGCCTTGCATCGAGCACTGCTGACCCCTGGAGATTGCGAGCTTGGCGGAGACACCGATGCAGGAACGCGCCGGATCTCCGGAACAGACATGGACCACCATCGGGCCATCGCAAAGCTTGACAGGTTGGAACGAATGATGAGATGAACCTGGGAGCCGTTATCAATGATGTCGAAAAGCCTCGAATGGCGTTAGAACCTCTACTGAAGATTATCAGGAAGACGCAATACACCCTCGTCGCCAGCGTCATCCTACCCCACTGCCCCGATCGCTCGCATCGTCTTTCAGGCAGTACGATTTTCATCACACAAATCATAGATTATCACTCAGAACCATCTTACGACAAAACCATGCCATGGCTACAATCTCATTCGTCGAGCTTCTCATTGTCCTCATGGTATTGACAAAGACGGGGTCATGATCCAACTTTGACTTGATCAGTAAACATTGGATGTTGGCCATCGAAGCAATCTATTCATATTAGCAAATAGAGCGATTGAGCACGCACCCGAAAACTTGACTGACTGATCGGCGCGGGCCGTCATAGTTGACTTTCTGTCGGCTAATGCCGGTCGAGCATGTGGTGCTGTCACAGCGAGCGAGTCCCACACCAAGAGATCTCCGGAAGCCGGAATGACACCTTGAAAGTCCAAGGGGTAGCAAGTGCCGTAGAGTCACACCATGAGCTCACTCATACAGGGAGCTTTCTTTTATACAAGGGCCTTAGACTCCAGAGCTTACGGGTATGCTACCTTCTACTGTTCTAAGCTTTCATTTACGCTTTCGCACAGCGGGTTACCACCTGCAGGCGGACCTTCTTGACTGCCGTATGAGACGGAGAATTACATGAGGGTCAGGATGGAATAGGCTCCATGCGGAGCGAACCCCTGACGACGTACAGGAGCGCAGATTCGTTTCCGCTTCGGGGTCCTGGAAAGGTTGACGTACGAATCCGTGACTTCGTGCTCATCTGTGCTCAGTCGACGAACTGCAGGAGATGAAATAGATAAGAAAATAATCTTCCCTCTAGGCGTGGATAAGAAGAGTAAGTAAGCAGGTAAAGGGGCCTCGAAGAGTATAAGTAGGGAAGCAAGGGCAACTTGAGCAGTAGGACTAGTAAGAGTAGTAGGAATAACAAGCACAAGCGGCAGAAGGCGCGAGCTTTCGCTCTGGGGATTTCACTAGACGCTGGCTGCAGCATCCATAACCCAGTATCCTTTCAACCTCCCGTCTGCCCCTCTGCCTCATTGCAACCACACCTTGGGCCGACTATCCAAAGGCGATCATTCGGAATTCCATTTTTGCCTTGAAGTCAATTGTTTCAGACGCAATCTTTAGGGGGCTACTACCTGCGCCGAATAAGAGAGGCGTAGGGCTGGAAAACACCAAGGTCAGATGATGATCAACTGAGCGTCACTGGCGGCTGTGTCTCGGACATTGTCACAACCTATGCAAAAAACCAACACCAGCTAACCGAGTTACGTTGACTGCATCAATGGCCGAAGGTATCAAGGCATAAGTAGTCATCCCAAGATTACTAACTTCCCAGCTGCTTGCGATGACCGGGGGAAACAGAACAGCCTAAATATCAACAACGCTAACCCTTCAATGAATACGAAGAACCACCCCCAGCTGCTTGCGACGAACGGAGAACAAAGGGATTACTATCCTTGTATAACTAACGCAGATTCTCAAACAAATACAAAGAACCGCCCCAAGCGGACCCAGTTACATCGACAACATTAATGGCTAAAAGTGTCGAGAGAGGTGATAACATAGGCGACAGGAGAAATAACGAGAGAGAGGATGAGAAGGACGATTGCAGTCATATCGTTTTAACAACAAACGATGTCGTTTCCTTAGACACAGCATCGAATATGCAGTACTCAATACAATCAAAAACCAGCTTAGCTACCATCACGTGCTGCCCAAATTCAAGCCTTAATCTCACTTCGAGCATCATGCTCTGCGACGTTCTCGTGAGTTTCGATCACAAACTTCTCCGTCTTACGGGCGACCTCGTCCGTCAACCTATCCTCGTTACCATCCAAGATGACAGCCGTCTCCTCCAAGCTCATCTTGCCCGTCTCGACGAACAGGAAGTACACCACCACGGCCTCGAACGCCAGCCAGACATCGTAAGTGATGTAGTACTTCCACTTCGAGTTCGTGACACCCACTGGGTTGGCGTACTGGTTAAAGATGAGGGCCAAGGCAACGAACAGGTTGTAAAGAACCAGGCCCTTTGCTCGGAGATTGAAGGGCAGAATCTCGACGACATAAGTCACCTGCAGAGCACCCCAGCCCATGTTGAAGACGACGTTGTACAAGAAGATCATGGCCAAGACGCCCTTGGCGAGGCCTGGTGACCCACTGCCCGTAAGGTCGGTTTGTTGTTCGTAGGTGGCCTGCAGAGCTGTCCAGGTAACGTAGCAAGCCAAAGCGCCCAGAGTCGAGGCAAGGAACATTGTGCGACGGCGGAAGCGGTTGACGAGGAACGACGCGATGAGACCCCAGATCATACCCCAAAGAGTCATCAATGCGTTGATGAGAGTCTGGGTATCTTGGGAGGTGTAGCCGATGGAGTTGAGGATCAGACTGAGATAGTACGAAATGAGACCGTTACCGGACCTAGATTTGAATGTCAGTCAAGTTGTTTTTCCACGTGGAGTTTGGCGAGAAAAGGGGCATACCATTGAGAGAAGAACCCAACTGCCAGGATGATGAAGAAGCGCCGACGGTTTCCGGGAGTCTGGAAAAAAGACATGTACGATGTCGATCGCGAGGCCTCAGCTTCGAGTCGCAAGGCCGTCCTAATTTCCTCCATCTCCAACGGAACTACCAGATCTGTTGGGTCTCCATTCGCATGATACTTGACAATAAGAGCCTCGGCCTCGGCATCTCGTTCCTTCGAAATCAGCCATCTTGGTGACTCTTCTATGAAGAAGCAGAGACCCAATTGAACGATGCTAGACACTCCCTGAAGGATCGAAGGAATGCGCCATGCCCATGTGTTGCCGATTCTGAAGGTGCCAAAGGTAATCCACGCCGCCGATAGGGCACCGAGGCCCCATAGAGAGTTGTAGATACTGACGAGAGGGGCACGTTGGGATGGGTAGGCCAATTCCATGATCATGAGAGGTGCGGCGGTGATGTTGAGCGCGAGACCAAATCCGAGAACTCCACGGGCTGCGATGAACATGCCGACATTTTGTGATGCGCCTTGCAATGCCACACCAATGAGGAGAATGGAAGCACTGAAGAGGAGGGCAGGCTTGCGGCCGAAGCGATCGCAGAACCAAGCGCAGAAGGGAAGGGCCACCAGTTGTCCAACGTTCTGGATCGCATTTAATCTGATGACAGCTTATCAGCAACTACGCTGGGGCACGCATTCCCGAGCAAACTTACAGTCCTAACTGTTGGGCATCCGGGTTGTTGAAAGACTGCTGCCATGTGTCCAAGGACTGCAGTCCATTCATCATCGATCCGTCATAACCGGTCGCGTAACTCGATACCAATGATAGGACAAGGATACAATTCAGCTTGACAATACCCGGGTTGGAAAGCCATTTCAGCGATCCTCTGTTCTTCGCAATCGCCGCATCGACAGTCACGGGGATGCCGCCTGGCTCTACTGACGATGTTGGACCCTTCGCCATGGTTGCGATCTTCCAGAAATGAACAGAACTAGAATGCGACTCACGCGAGCTCCGAGTACCCGGGAATGGCGATGTTAATATTTGACGGACCCGAAGAGATAACAACCCGAGAAACAAACACGCTTTCCTCGGGTACCGATATCAGCACCAACAAGCCCGGCCAACCTCCGGGCCGGCTCTCACACGATCCAATCTGTCGGGCTCAGGCCGCTCGGGGGTTTTGCCCATACGCGCCAGATCGAGCCAACAGAGGTCAGGTCAGGAGATACCAGCGGGGTTGGGGAATCCCTCACGTTGTCGGCAATAGCTATCGGTGCCGAGGGCAGTTTATCGGGCGAAAGCCTTCCGAATCAGGTATCGCGGGCGATATGCCATGCGTAACGTGACCTCTCAGGGGTGCGGAAATATCGTCCGGCAATGATATCTATCAGCACCTGATACGGCCAGATATCACCAACAACCACTGGCCCGCCTGTGGGAAAAGCCCCAGTCCGATGTTTATCCTGTTTATCCTCCATGGACCATGGTGCCACTATCCCCGGCCAGCATGCGGTCTCTCCCCCGCAAAATGGTCACTCGTGACCCCGCTTGAGCTCAGCTCACTAGCGCAGCGGCTTCTCTCCCAAGTTGGGGTATGTAACCTTGCCCGGGGGCCGGAGATGGTCCACCGGTCTCCGGCCCGGTTCGGACCGGGTCCTGGGCAAGCTGGGATTGGTATCTTTGATTGGCGGACCTTTCTGTGAGAGAAGACAGCATAGCAGTGCGGAGGTTGGCGTGAGGGGTTCATGACGATGGCCTTGTTGATTCCCCAGACTAGGGGATATAGCGGCATCGAACGCGTGGTCCTCATGGCGAGTTATGGCAAGGGGTATTGTCAGTATGAGGATATATAGGTAGAGAAAGCGGCCTAGACGTAATGGGATTCCTTGCCAAGAATCTTCCTCGCAAAAGTACGGTTTGTTGGGCACGATGCATCTCAAATTGGCCGTCGCTTCACTCTTGACCTCCGGCGCGACGCTGGGGGTCAACGCCGCCAGCAAGCCCAAGTTGTCAGCCAGTAAGGATTGCGCAAATGGTGAAAGACATTCAATTTGACTTACACTACCACAGGTGCTCAAAGTTTGTTTGACTACTCCATGGGGGTCCAGGACGCTAGATGGGACCAGTCGTACGCTGCGATCTTCTACCCCGACAAGGGACCGTGGTCTAACAGGTTTACTGCCTGGTACACGGCGGGCTTGCTGCATCGCAATGAGGGAAACGACGTGGAAAACGCAAAGGCAGCAATTCAGAATATGTAAGAAACTCATTTGGTCTTTTTTTTATTATTCTTTTGACTAATTCCGAGCGCAGTCTTCGGTGCCAAATGACGTCGGATTTTGAGTCAGCGTGGTATGGAACATTTAAGCTCTCGCCTGATGAGCCGGACCCAACTCCCAACTCCACACTCTATCCACCAAAGATTTATGTAAGTTGGGTCCGTGGAGCCATTGACGGCGTATCTGCTCACCTGGTTCTAGACTACATACGATCCGAACTGGAGAGAGTTTATTGGGTAAGTTCTATAAAATCACGAATCCCACGATGCCAACGGCAGCTAAGAGCAATGTAGAACACAACTTGTGCAAGATGTGGAGCTCTATTCCGACCTCCTTGGCGCGGATCTCGTCAAGAAAATTGAAGACGCTCTCGAAATCCAAGCCGTCGGGGCTATGAGACGTAACGGCAGCTACCCCGATGGCGACAACCTCATTCTTCGCTACTCTAACCCAGGTCTCATGCGCGCCCTTACAGTCGGCTGGATCGGCGCCCGTCGTCAAAATTCTGCCTTCACCAACTTCGCCAACACTCAAGGGAGCGAGCTTCTAGAGCTCTTCAAGTCCAACGGGTCTAACACCCTCGGCGAGTACAACGCCCCAAACTACTACGGCATGGATGTCTGGGCTCTGGCTGCAAACATCGCTTACGGACCCCGCAACGCCACCCTGACCAAGAACGCCGAGTTCATCTTGACGGAGTTGTGGAAAGATATTGCGGAGCACTACAACCCGTATCTCGGCAATCTCGTCGGTCCGTATGACCGGGCATACACCCGCGACATGACAAAGTATTCGTCCATTCTCCCCATGTACTGGTGGTCTGTATTTGGCCGCGAGTACGGTCCACAGCCTCTTTTGGGAGAAGGAGACTTGATGTACGATGCTGCACAGGGTGCGGCAATCTCCTTGGTTGCAGAGACGGTCGCGAAGCACATTTCAAACAGTACCGCAGCTGCTCTCAAGTCCAAGGGCTCCTGGACGGGGTCACGAAGCCTCACACGGCATATCAAGGAAGAGCTGGACACTGACGTCACTCGCACCACCACATCCTGGATCAGTGGACCTCTCATGATCGGCGGACAGCAGCTCGCTGAGACAGAGAACCGAGGAGATCAATTTGTGCCGGCCATTGCGCATTGGGCTTCGGACCCTTCGCATAAGCCGTGGCCCCTGGTTGGCTTCTTCCTGCTCTATCCTTCTGCTTCGACGATTAAGGCCGTCGCGAGTGAGAATTTTTTGAGCATCTCATACCCAAACAAGACTCAGGAAGGCTCTGATATCTTCACCTTTGCCCTTTCCGGAATCCCCCCATCATGGACTCTGGGAGGCAAGTCTATTACCGGCTTGGAGGAATTGCCATGCTTAAACGTCAACGTCTCTGCGCCTGGATTGGAGAAGTTGCCTATCTCGTATGGTGATCAGCTGAGAAATCACTGGTACTACAATATTTCCTATGCGGTGCCTGCAGACTTTGAGGGTGTCCCGCATGTGAACTTGACGATGGAGTACACCTGCGAAACCTAAAGTGAATGGAGGCGGACCGTAGCCCGGGTTGACATTGACCATTCTTTGTGTATATAAAACATAGGTAGCGCGTACAGCAGTGCCTTTTCCATAGACTTACTGAATTCTTTTTGCATATCTCAGATGGCAGAAGCTCTCCTGAATTCCTATCAGACCAAGTGACATTAGAGGCTGGTAACGTTGGCGCCGAGGTAGCACACGTAACGGTAAGCATACATTAAGAACGATGCATTCATTTCAAAATGCAGCAGAATAGATAGCGAAGAAAGAATGTATGATAACGTATGAATTGCCAATACTATTGCTACATGGAAAGACGCGATAGATCATAGAGAATCATCTCAAAGCTTGAAATTTTCAACGATGGTGGTCTCGATCTGGAGACCTCCCTGCCTTGCCCTCTCCACAAAGTCCGGGCCTAACACCCCAGCCGTCAGACATCCGCCTTTAATACCCGCTGACAAGTTCCTATCGTACAACAGTGTGGCGCCTGCCTGAGCCATGAGCATGGCAGCGAAGGGGTAGTTTCCCTCGTTGTATCTCAACTTGATGACACACCCCTTCCCACGATTCTTCTCCTCTGCGGGGTCGGCCTCAACGAAAGCTGCCGCAGTGAAAGGCAAACTCTTGATCTGCTCTTCAGACGGGCCGATACCCAAGTCCGGTGCGGTGCGCATCAGCAAATTGTAAAACCAGGGATACTGCACCCACGAGAACAAGGTGAGAATAATATAGCAGCGGATCAAGTTGAAGACGGCGCCCACATACGACTGCGCCCTCTCGTACTCGTTGTACTGGAAGTTGGGACCCCAGCTGCCTTCGGGACCGCCCAGGAGACCCCAAGATCTATTGATGAGGGTGCGCACTTGGTCGCCCGGCGGCGAAGAGAGTGTCAGTAATCCAAGCACGGGATGCGTGTGGATTCCGTGGACCGCCTCGATGGGTTTCGTGTAAGGAATCGGCGTCAGCAGGGACGGGTGACCAGCCGTCGCGATTGCTTTCGGGCCTCCGCTCGCAAATGACAGCATCGTTCGCATGGTGCCGCCGCTTACATTAGGGCTGTAGGTTACGCTCAATTAGCATAAGACCCCATCAACCAGATTGCATCAGACTGTGGGCTTACTCAAGATCATCAACTCGCAGCGTCATCTTCCCCATTCGTGCCGACCATTTCTGTTTGAGTTCGCGGCAGGCATGGATGGCGAAAAGATCCATTTCTCCAGTCATGGCGCCGCAAGAATGAATCAGCTATTTGCGATGCCGGTCAGTCGATACGTTGATGTTGTCTGTCATGAAAAGTCAGGTGGGGACGCCACCTACCGCAACGCCGTTTGCCTCAGCTTGCTCATGATATTTGGTGACCCAGTCGTGGACAAGAGTGGGAACACCGGCACTAGTGTTCGCTGTTAGATACCATTTGAAGAAGCAACGGACATCACAAACCAGTCAACATAGTCGGTCCGCTGGTCGATGCACGCCTCAATGATTGGATCTCCGTCAACCGCATAGACGACACTGCTGATGCACACCTTCGCTCTTCCGATCACCTCCCCGAGTGTCTTAGCATCGTCTGGTTCGACAATTTCAAGGTCTAGTTGCGAATTAGCATTCCCACTAGCCTAGCAAAATCAGGGCACCCGGATGCCTCACCTGGCTGCACTCGATCGGGATATTCTTTTCTCAATTTAGCTGCCAGCCTTTCGAGACGCTCTTGTGACCGGCCGGCGACTGACCATTTGAGGTTGGTGGGAAAATGGGCCGCCATGTGTGTGCATACCATCGTACCGGTGAAGCCAGAAGCTCCGAGCACGACAATGCCGTACTTTCGAGGTTCAGAATTGAATACCGCCATATTGTAGTTAGGTCAGTGGTTGGGTCTTCGTATCTATTATTGTGGAGACTTCGTCAATGGAATACACCTGGTGGAGGCCAGCCGGAATTGAAGAAAGTGCTTGCAACGCTGATTCTCGGACCCTGGTATCAAGCGAGGCCTGTGGATTGGCTTGTCTTATTTATCTATTTACAATATTGGTGGAACAGCGGAGTATTGGCGGACTTTGAGGTACGCTTTGGGAGGCTGCAGGCGGAACACATCCGCCAAGGGCAACATGCAGGACAACCAACAGCGCACGTTTTGTCAATGAGGATCCAACGGCTTGTTGGTTGGAAACCGGCGTAACTCGCTTGCTTGAGGAACAGGGGTGGTAGATTAGATAAGCTTGAATAAATTGCTTTAAGCTGGATCAGTTGGCTTTAATTTCTTCTTCCCTTCTTGTCTTGCTCATCATTCTCGATGTGGCATTCAGTAATGGACACCAACAACAACATAATGAGCACCGACACCACCGAAGTTCCTACTCAAGCAATGAATCAAATCGAATTGGCTGTCGATGGGGTAAATGGAACATCACACCCAAACTTTCACTGACTTGATGCTGATCCGTCGTGGCCACAGTCTTCGGAAGACGGCTCTTGGGAAGTGGGAAGTACACGAATCCCCTGGACCTTGCTCAATTCACTTATTCTAACCAATGCAATTCAGAGGGTCGCATCTTCGAGCTACAGTCTGACTGACTCGATTCGTGAATTTCGGGTCGAGAATGGCCGAACGTACCACAAGTACAAAGACGGACGTGTGTGACATTTCTGCGCATCAAAACTACGTATTGTTCAGCAACTGAGTTCTGAAGGTTATCATGCTCCAAACGACGACAAAGAAAATGAACGGCTTGGTAAGCTTGGTACAGTCACTTCTTTCGCGAGGTGTGCTTATAGAGGCTTCAGACTTACAACACCATCTTTGTCTTCTCACCCTCGATAACCGCTTGGGACTTGCGCCGGCCAACCATTCCAACTCTAGGGCCATGCGTGTCCTCGATGTTGGTACAGGTACTGGAATTTGGGCCATTGATTTCGGAGAAGAACATCCGGATGCTGAGGGAAATAAGTCTCTTTCACGTACCTCATAATTCCAGTGCTGACTCCAGCTTCAGGTTATAGGGTTTGACCTCTCGCCAACAATGTCAGATACGTGAGTGCGTCCTTCTTCCAAGGTCGCATATTTCCTCGGGCACAATTCAAAGTTTAGTTTCCGATGCTGACTGAGCAAGGGTGCCACCCAACGTGTGGTTCGAAGTCGATGATCTCAATGAGGATTGGAACTGGTCACAACCGTTTGATTACATCCACAGTCGCTTTATGAACGCGTCCATTGCGAACTGGCCAGATTTCGCGACGAAGATCTTCAAGTGAGTCGTATAACCTCGGCTCTGCAGAACCAGTTGTTTGGTCGTTGACCCAAAGAGTACTGATCTCAGCGTCCCTAGTAACCTCACTCCTGGTAGGTACGTTGAACTGGTTGAACTCGACCTTCATGCGCGCTCCGACGATGGGACTCTCAAGCCAGACTCTGCCATAACACAATGCACCAGATTGTTGGGGGAAGCTGCTGAGATATTCGGACGCCCTTACCAGGAAGTCCCGCCTCTCGTGCAAGTTCTTCAAAATGCCGGTTTTGTCGACGTAAAAATACATGTGCACAAGTGGCCGACGAACACTTGGCCGAGGGATCCTAAATATAAGGAGCTAGGCATGTGGGCCAACGACAACTTCAATGATGGATTTGAATCGTTCGCTATGGCGCCTTTGACCAGAGCTCATAACTGGAAAAGGGCGGAGGTCCAGATTTTGCTCATGCAAGTGCGAAAGGATTTGAAAAACAGATCCATTCACGCGTACTGGCCAATGTGAGTCGCTCATCTACCCTTGATGACTATTGCTCATCGATTTAGGTACAACATCTACGGACGAAAGCCTTGAGAGAAGAAGCAGTCCCAGCACATTGTATACAAGATATGACGTGGAGGGTAAACTCTGGAGACCTCCGGCACAAAGGCCTATGACATAATGCACTTTCACTATCAGACCAAAGGTGAACACTAGACTCAAGTAGATGATTGAGCCTTCCGCAAGTACCCAGTGACCTAGTCTGAGAGAAAGTACGCACGTAAAGTTGAACGTGTCGAGATCTAATACTTTGACTGCACACTTGGGAAATTTCCTCCAAAGGTTGTAACTCTTGGTTTAGACCTTGGCCTACGTGCAATTTCTAAGTTCTACATTTGCGATATGACAACTACTATGTTGTGATCTCGAGGACCATGGGTTGTGATGAACTTCTTGATTGGCGGACTTCGTGGCGACGAGTCGTCGTCTTGTGGAGCTATTGACGTGTTTGGTTGAGGGCAGTAATGCATATCATCAGTGGCTGCGCAAATCTCGACGAATTGACTCAATCCAAGAATAGCGTACTAGGCAGTCATTCGGAGGGTGAGGTTTGAACATGACAATGCACAGCCCGTGTTATTGCTGTTGGGACCTTTCGGCGATACCTGAAGATTGAATGCCTACTGGGTCCACAGGTAAGTTGCCTTATCTATTTTTACCATCAGTACCAGGTACCTTGGACACACGCCCGAGACAATGAGGCACAGCACCAACAAGGCCCCTCCTTTTTCTCATCGATCAAATGAAATACCCGCGTCTCCCAATTCTCTCCTCAAATAACTCCGCCCTTTTTTTCTTTTGCCTCAGTTCTTCTCGAAGAGCATCTTGAAAGTTCCATTCAACAACAAACATGCCCCAAACTCCCACCAGAAGAGCATCTACAGGCGGCAAGGCGCCCCGCAAAGCTCTTTTGCAATACGTCATTGAGGAAATGCCCAGCCATGATAACACGCCCTGCATTACCGCCTGGCGACGTGCTGTGAGGCTGCCAGTACCCGAAAAATATGCGCGACCGCTCTCAGACTCCGATTCGGACGATGAGGATGGACAAACGCGCCCGAAAATGTCTTATCAGATATACGACACAACGCTTTTGTCTGCCAACCCGGACCATCTGAAAACCCGAGCTAAGAAGGTCCACGAAGAGACATTCAGAGCGCGCTGGAGAATTGGATTTGATTTCCACGATCGCATTGACCTCTGGGCCATGCCGCTTGCCGTGGACGCATCTACCGAGGAGAGAATCGAGAAGTGCAGAGCACATGCCCGTGCTGAAATTGCGTCACGGGAGCACGCCGATGATACTTTGCACATTTCGCGACTCATCAACCACGTGGATTGGCCTCGAAGTGACTGGCGTCGAGTCATCATCATCATTGACCGGCCACCAGAGCTCTGGAACGAGAATGAGGGAGGCTTCCTGGTGGTCTTCTGGGATCTGTCAATCGAGCATCCTGCAACAACTTCAGGGGAAGTTGAGGGGCCCCAAAGCGGCCAAGATGAAGGCCAGCAGGCACCGGATATGGAAGTTGTGCGTTGCACTTATGATGGCGTGGGAAAGGTGATGGGGGAAATTAGAGAGGCTTTCCAGGACTTTGAGGACTGATTTTCTGAGGTGTTTGTAAGGCTTCCTGCGGGTAAATAACGCAAGAGACAAGCAGTAATCAGTGAACTTGAATCAAATGAAAATCTAGATATCGGTAGAGACAGTTGCAACTTCAAAAGTGATAAGCAGAGCCAACAAAACAGTCCAAGCAAACAAGCAACATGACAATATGTCCACGGCCGGTGTCCTCCCACACACAAAACCCATCCCGTCCACCTGTCCGCCTTCTGAACCTCATATATTCCAACCCGGCCACCATCCAAGACATTACCTAAACGATCTTGTCCGGGACGCCGATGTTCGGGTTCTGGTTGGAAGCATCAAATGTGACATCCTTCCAGCCATAGGCACCATAAATCGAGGCGCCGGCTGGGAGACCGGCCGGGCGAGGAAACTTGAGCTTGGCTGCAGTGGCAAAGCCATTGGTGCCGAAAGCATCATTCCTCCACTTCTCCTCGGCCGCGGACCGCTTGTTCTTCGGGAACTTTTGGTCGAAGACAGTTGCGGACTGTGTCGCCCAGGCGGCGGCGAGGGCCTCAATGTCGCCAAGCTCCTTGTCGATCCAGTACGCCCAAAGAGACCGCATCGAGGGATCCCCCTTCGAGTTTTTGGGCTCGCCAGCGCGCGCACCCCATTTATACTGTTGATCAAACGTGTACATGACAAGGTCTATCCAGTTCGCAACGCGGGCCCATTTCTTCCAGATGGTGTCCGTCTGGCCGTCGCTGGCGCCCAAAAATTGAAACGGGGCCACACCCTGTGTTGTCTCTGGTTAGTTGCGTCTGTGAGAGTGAACATACGGAGTTGTTGTTTGATCTTTCTTACCCTTCGCATTTCTGTTCGAAATATAGACTGTGTGTTCATCTTGGAGTAGTCACTGGCTACCCTGTTCATGCCAAACCACTTCCCCTTGGCCATATTGATCTCTTTTTCGAGTAAGGCGAGGTTGTTGTTGCCTCGAGTGGCTGGAATACGCTCAACGTTCTGGCCTCCCGAAATTGACTTGACCCCGTCGGATCTTCCGAATCCGTAGGCAATCAGGGCACCCCCTCGTTCGCCGGAAGATGGGGTGAAGAGATCGCCAGCATTGGTCTTGCCAGGCGAAACGATAAGGAATTCGGTCTTACTGTCTTCGGATGACAAAAACGTGTCAACGACCCATGCAGCTGATGGCATCTTGTATGTAGTCCCAAGCTTTCCGCCAGAATCACTGCTCAGCCAAGACAGAAACCGCATGACAGTTTGGGCTTCAAAGACGTGTTCGGCTGCGCCCTGGTTAGCACACGATATGCCATCATCACTGACGAGGGACCACTTACTGTCGTATTTCTTTCCATTTGCCTTGTTGGCATCTTTCACCACCTCCACGCTGCACTGATTCGTATTCTGTGGATCTTTGTACGCCCAAAACTTGCTGATTTCCGGAATCTTTTCGGCATCGGCTCCCTGCATGTACTTTCCCATGGATAGCGTTACCTCGTACGTACCGCCGAGCAAAAACCCATCGAACTTGGTGTCCTTCTCGGCAAGGCCACGTCCCTGCAAAAGCAATGATCGCGACGACAGTTGGTCTGGGAGAAAACCGAAAAGGCTCCTCTTGCTCATCGATCCGTCCGCAGGAGGTAAGACGCAGGCCGGGGCATCGGCAGAGTTGCCCGCACGGGCGTACATGAGTTGATACTTCGCATCACGAGCTGCCTTTGTCTTTCCGAACTCGCCGCAGTAGGCACATCCGGCGCCGGCTTCAGTCGTGGATGAGGCAGGCGAGGATGTTGTATGCGCTGATGTTGTCTCTGGCTTCGGTGTCGTCGCGGGCTTTGGTGTCGTTGTAGGCTGCGGCTTGTCGGTAGGCTTGACCGTGGGCTGGTCTGGCTTCGTCGTGGGATCGGGGACTGGCTTAACATCGCGGCATCCGTTCTTGTTCTTCTTCTTGCAGCCGACAGGTTTTCCACGCGACATGGAGTCAGGGGCGCCGAGGAGAGACCCAAACACCATAGTGATATCGAAGTTGAAATCCGGTATCCCGCATGCAGGGCCGATCCAGCTCCCAAAGAATGACGCCGCTTCTGCCCCATTCTCGTAGAAAGACTTGGCGCCCTGGACTATAGCTTTGATAGCCTTGGGTGCTTGCCCGCCGGGGATGAACGTGAGACCGGCGTCGGCGATGGAGGTTAAGGAAGAAAGCATCACAGCGCAAATAACACTGTCAAGCTGTTCGAGGCCCTCGATGACAATGTCTGCGATCTCTTCACAGAACTCACACTCACATGTGCATTGCCCGGCGTACCATTCGTTGCAATCTTCGTCTTTGTTGGCGAGACTCTTATCAAGTTTGACGCCCTCAGGAACGAAGAGCTCACACTAAGACACTCGTATCAGCAAGACTATGACGATCACCAATCTGTTTGGCGGGATATTGTGAATGGAACATGAAATCATATTGACTTACACCTGCTGCGGCGTTCTCTACCCCTTTGACCTTCTGGCAATAGCCATCAGCGCCGGCACAGGGAGCAATACTCTTCTCGCGATTGCCAGCGCCAGTGTAGCTGAAGCATTGTCCAGAGGACTTGTACGCTGCAATTATCTGAGCATCCGTAGTACCCTCAGGCTTGGGACACTTGGGTGCTCGAGGTGTAAGTTGAGACCCAGAGACTACCGAGGCAGTGCTGCATAGCAGCCCCAAGACGGAGAGAAGCTTCATGGCTCTGAAGAAGCTACGCGCTCTGGTGCGGGTCAAAGACTGACGAGTAGACAAGTATGATGTGTTAATAGATGAGTTGATTGTGTCGTTGAAGATTGAATACATGATCTTTTTGCGATTCGTTGTTTATCTTTTATATCATCCAACTAGGGAAACACGGGGTCTCGAACACATTGATGCCAAAGACTGATCACAGCCTACACTGCCTCATACTGCCTCATCTGAGTGCCCACGAAGCGGAGAGCCCGAGAGCGTGAAGCTCCTTGTAGATTTGGGGTCTGTTGGTTGTTCCTGGGGCCGTTAGGTGATGGCGATGGTATTTCAGGAGACTCCATAGTTCAGAGATTGACAGTTTGCCTAAGCTAGCCCCCGAACCATTAAACATCCATGGATACTGTAAATGCTCAATGAAGACTCATCTTTGATCAAATGATGTAGTCAAAGTCCCAGACACGCGATCCTTCGGCGACATCAACCCGCGCCCAGGGAAAGGGCCCGCGAACAGTATCCAACAGCGTCCAACAGCGTCCAACAGCGTCCAACAGCATCTACCAACAGCCCCCAACGGATCCGGTTGCTACCGTATCGACTGCGGCGAGCCCTTTGCCAAGTATTCAAAGCCTCAAACTACCCATTTTTCTCCACTTGAGATGTCACGATCGTGATGTTCCTGTCGTGAACGCGAAGCTTGGCAGCTGGTTCCCTACAGCTGTCCCCACTGCGTGAGAACCTTCCGATTTGAAACCATCAACGAACATGCTTTCTGCCTCGCCCCCTCTTTATCAATCCTTCAATTCTACGCCTCAAGAAGAGGTGCCCATGAGGGCGATTGGGGTCTATAGGCCCCATCACACCCTCACATCTGCCTTGATTTGAACAGTGCCTTGCGGCGCAAGGCAGACCAGTGAAGCGTGAGAACCGCGAGGCAAATTCAGGCAAGGCCGTGGAATGAAATTCAACAGGAAAAAGTTTGGACCCTCCCGCCGCTGAGAATGAAATTGAGAATGTAACAAATAGTCGACATTTCTGAATCCAGGTATTCCGTGGGATGCCCGTCAACAGGGGAGACCAAGAAGGGAGTTTGCTGAAAGCGTCCAACGAAGCGACCAACGCCCAAACCATGACTCAGAACTGTACGAGAAGTTTAATTCCAGTCACAACACATGGCATTTGAGCTGGGTGCCTGCAGTCGATTTATAACATGCCTTCGAATTATAAAGTAGATGGGATCATTCTGAGGACTCTGATTCTGGCGTTGGTAAATAACGAGAGAGTTTCCTCCCAATTCGAGACTACTACACCGTTCTTGATGAAAGTCTAGCGTGAGTGGCCTTCATAGAACTTCCCAAGACCTGATTCAGTTTTCTCTGGATTCTGGTCCATATCAGCCTGGCATCTGCATATTCATAGAACTCCACAACCCCGTGAGCCCCATCTCCAGCCGTCTGGTTTCAAGACGAGAGAGTCTTTGCGCAAGTTCCAATTGCAGCAACCCAGCAGAAAAGATTCACGGTGGCAGAGCGAGTAACATGTATCCGCATCTATTGTTGGAGAGTGGGCGTCAGCCCGGCGTTCGCCAGGCCCTTGATCTTCGGAAGGGCAACCTCCACGAAAGCGAAGTGGCCAGCGGCGAGCAAGGCACTGAAAACGAACCATTAGTGGGGGACATTTCGGTGTAACACTTCGATTGAGGTGCTAGCGACGATAGCGACGATGGAAGCCATGGTGCCGAAGAGGGGAGCGTTGCCGTATGTGAGACCAGCCTTGATCATCGTATTCCAGTAAGGGGTGAGAACATGCTTGACGCCCGGCTCGATTTCTTTGTCCAGAAAGATACCGAGGAAAAAGTATTGCTCAAAGGCAAACCGTAAGGACACGGTGGAAGTAGTCACCGGTACGAGGTGCAAGTATGACATGACCTGACGGGTTGCCGAACTGATACATGTAAGCGTAGCAGGTATAGGTCAAGTGTAAATTGAGACTTCGGAGGTTGATGTTCCTTGCACTGTACAAAGTTTGATATGATAAATCAGTGAGACTACATCTATCGGCTGTCTCGTTTCTGGCACCCAGTAGCGGCGAAGATGGCTGTAATTCCAACTCCGCCGGTGCTCGCATGATAACAAGGGTCAACTCCGCAAGTTGACGCAAAGAATTCACAACGACTGCACATATGTTCGACTTATATGCGCCAATGTGGCGTACAGCTTATGCGAGTTGTGCGTTCCTGGAAATGGCCATCGAAATGGGTCCGTAAGCAGAAGCCTTGGCTGTTGTTCTTCCGCCGACTTACCAAAGTCCCAGCCCTCGAGGTGCGGAGTTTACTGCCTAAATCGAGGCTCTTTGGCGGATTCTTTGCTGGCGGTCAAATAGCGGGAGTAAAAACAAAAAGCAAAGGTACATATCAGACCCTGGTTGTTGGTCATTCCCAAAGTTTTCGAAATCACAGCAAAAGGAATTGGTTCCATCCCCGTAAGAACGACATCAGCAGCGTCTCCTCAGGAATATACCACTCTTATTGGCTGATACCCTAAGAGTTTCTAAAACGTCTTCTCGCGGCGTTCTGAAAGTCTATGCTCTGCAATCCGAGGATGCTTCTAGGACCAATGAGGAGTTTGAGAAGCATGTGTGTGATAATATCAATTCCGCATCGGTAAACCTTTTCAAGCAACATAAAGCTGTGAAGTACTCGATTGTAAGCGGTGTCACGGCTGTCACCCGTCACCAAAGCTTTTCACGGTGTGTATGATTTATTAGTCGTCAGACCCTCTGCCCTAGGAATGTCTTCGGGGCTCTCGCCGCGATGGGGGAAAAGTTCCGCCTGGGATAGGCTATTATCAATTCGTGTGCAGTCCTCATCGATTGGATATGATAAATGTCACCCGCAAGCAACCCGGAGTATCATGAAATTGGCCGAAAATGAGATGAAGGCCGGACCGAATATGGATGCTGTAGGCGAGATTATGGTTAGATATGAGAAGGTTTTCGTTGACAACAAGGAGATTGTGAATGAGAATATTGAGGACTAGGCGCCGGCGGGAATTCACCGTAGCATATAGGAACAAAGATGCTGGAATGAGCGGGGACTTCGTCGATCTGCCTGAGCTTCTATTCGTGTTGTATATATGAGGCTCGCATATTGACATGAGCTTATTCGGAGAGATGCTTATCAATGGATATCAGATTAACCTCTCGTAGGACTTGAGGGTTAGATATTAAGACTGCAGGGCTTCTTGATCTCGTCATAGCGGAGGTAAATCTAGCAACTTTTCTTGCGTCCCACGCGATGCGCGCCTCAACCCAAAATGAGAAAAATGTCAAGCTTGTGCATTCCTGCCACTGGCAGAATCTGTGACCAGGTCGTCCGCGACGCATTGTAATTGGGAACACGGTCCGCGTATACCTTCAAGGCTCGTAGCTTCGCCAATTTAGTCAAGTTGTTTGATGCTGCCGCTGAGTCGAATCAACTATAATTCCCCCGAACCTACGTATCTGGTGGTTTGCTCTTAGGCAGTGGTAAGATAAGACTGCTGTCCCTGGGCTAGCCAGGATAGAGTCACAGACAATGGGTTGCACAGTTGATCCATCATGATCATTCTACCTCACGTGTATTGCTATTGCAAGAACGAAAGTGGTGCTGTCCTGAGCCGTTTCCCTGAAAATGCCCAAGTGGTTTTCTTTGACCCAGCATTATCAACCGCATACTCATTGGGCACCCCTGTAAAGCTGGTTGCAGAGGCTTGCCATGGACTTCAAGGTGAGAGCTTGGGGTTTAGTGTGATTCATCAGGGAACTACGGTAAAGAGACCGAAGGTAGCAGTGGGACGTCATGATACCCTGCACACTGGAGGTTTTGTTTCAACGGCAGCCATCGAGCTCCTGAGAAACTATTTTCACCATCTTGGCATCTTGGCCGCTTCGCATCGATGCAACTTCGCTATCGATGATAACCTTTACATTTTCGCTTCGCACTGAGTAGTTGCACCATGGTGGTGGCATGGGAGCCTGCGTCTGAAGAGTGCATTAATGACACTGCCGGGTTCCGGTTTCCCGATCGGTGAGACTGCACACCGCTCAATGACTAGCCGCACTGAACGCGCTGATCTGGCGTTCTCGAAAACGGCTGTTGTAACGAACTGCACTGTCGAAGAAACGTTACAGTCTTTGGGCATCTTGAATGCACCGATCTCCTATTCAGACCTGTATATCACGATGGCGACAAGCAGCGGACATTTGGTGTTCTCAATTGATTTGAAAAGCCTCTTCACCGCCTGTGTCATGTGTCACTGTCCAATCTTAGTTTCAGGCCTCGAACTGAAATTTTATTTTCAGCGCTATTGGCCAGGGCCCCTTGCAGTTTCATATTAAGTGAGCCAAACCGCCCCAAAGTTGGGCAGCGAGAGACAAACACCAATGAAAGCAACTTTGCGATGCACGAAGCCAGCCGTTTGGCCATTCACGCTCTTTGTGACTTGCTGCATCTCGAGGCCACGTTCGTTTAGTCGGTCTGGGCGCGTCTTTCAACCGCCAACCAACACGAAAACAACAGCCCGCAACGTGACAGGGCGAAAGAGGAAACCCGAAGAGATGATCGACGCAGGCCGAACGTGCCGCTTACCGCAATAGTCCGTCTCCACTAACTGTCTCAGTCGCCCATTATCCGCACAAGGGAAGAGAAAAAAGCTCAGACGCTCGTGTCTCAAAACAGCTCGTACCCCCTGAGACCAACACAACAAAAGCCAAGGAAGGGGGGCGAGGGGCGGGTGGTCATCTTTCGTCCATTTGCAGCCCACCCGCTGGAAGCAAATGGTATTATTACTGGACGCCCCTCTGATCCTTCCGATCACCGTGCTAATTTCCACGTCGGCGGCGTCCTGCCCTCCAAGAAAGTCTAAATTCGACCACGTCGCCGCAAATCTCGTGGCGCTTTCTCTTCACCACCCCTGAACACACACCCAAGACCATCGACCGTCGAGGAGCCTTGTCAGCAGAAGAACGGC